TGCAGATAATTATCGATGATAACATGCTAACGTATGTATACTAATGAATGTCATGAGAAATGAAATGCAACTTAATAGTTGGGTTTTTAAGTATAATGAGACTACCCTGACTCTCCAACATCTAGACAGAGCTTAGGTACGACTGTTTATATTTAAGATTCAAATTTTTTATTATACTTTTTATTCATTAATTTTATTATTAATGCGAATTAAGAAATCGTGTGAAAAGACTAACGAAGTAAGATTTCCTAAATACCCCATCATCTAGGTGGCATTCGGGAACAAATTACTTCAGATGAAATTTTCATACGTGTTCTTAGGATTTTTAAGAGTTTTTGAGTAAGGGCTTGAGTAGATGTTTTGAAGGTTTGGTTTTAAGGTTTAGAGGGTTTTAAGGCTTGAATTTTAGGATATGAAGGTTTAGGGTTTTTATTTTAGAGTTAAGAGATTTTAAGGTTTGGATTTTGTGGTTTGGGGTTTTGATTTAAGAGTTTGGATTTTAAGGATTTTGGATTTTGAGGTTTGGATTTAAGAGTTTAAAGGTTTGAGGATTTTGAATTTTTGAGGGTTTTGAATTTTATGAGTTTCAGATTTTATGGGGTTTTGGATTTTTAGGGGTTTTAAAAACTTAAGATTTTGAAAATTAAAAATTAGTGTTTAAGGTTTAAGTAAAATGCGAACATCTCTAAAAATTTCAATCATCTAGGCGGACTTTCGGAGCATGTTCAATTTTTTTATAATTTTTGAAAACTAATTAAAAATTTTTTATGTGTTTTTTTTTATGAAAATTTATTCATAATAATTCTCCAACATCTAGGCGAAATTATTTTTTTTCAGAAAAATATTTTTATTCCCTCCAATATCTAGGCAGGAAAAAAAATAATAATAATAAATATTTTTTTGAACATTTTTAATATATTTTTAAATATTATTTGTTTTCAATTTTATTATTATTAAAATAATTAAACATTTATTCTAACAAATTTAGAAATTTATCATGCATAAATATAAAAAATATACTTAAAATAACAAAAATAATAATATAAAAAAAATTAAAAAATTAAAATTTTTTTTTTTATCTGAACCGGACCGGTCAAAGGTCCGATCAACACTGGTCTGGACCGGTTTGACCGATTCTGCGGTCCAGTGGTTCAGACCGATTCAGATCGATTCACTGACGGTTCGTCTGGACAAGTTCAAGGTTGGCTGAAGCGGGTTGGCGGGTCGGTTTGTGCAGATCTTGGGTCAGATCTGGGTCCACGCGTGAATCCTCTTTGGTTAAAACGGCGTCGTTTTGGGGTCTTTCCCTAAACGATGTCGTTTTGAATGTTACTTTTTCATATATAGCTGAAAATTTTTTTTGGTTTATTCTTTTTGCGTTTTAAAAAGAGAGAGAGAGAGAGAGAGAGAGAGAGAGAGAAAGAGCTCTGGGGGAGAGGTCCGGCCGCCGCCTGGTCCACCGTCGTCGGTGGCCAAAAATTTCAAAAAATGACTAGGAAGCTGCTTTCGATGCGATCTTTCCAAATCCAAAGTCCGTTTTACCAGAAACAACCCCAATCAGTGTAGATTGAGGCTTGAAGCTTTCGGTTTCTTTTTTTTTTTGAGAAACTGACTTTTGTATTTTTTGATTTTAACAGGGCTTGCTCGGCGCTGATGGTTTCTCGTCGTAGGCGAGGACTGTGTTGTTTTTGTTTCTGTTTTTGCATTTTTGTTTTGGGTATTTTGGGGGGTGTTTGAGGTTGTTGAAGGAAGAGTGTGGCTTGGTGTTTGAGTTGGAAACGAGAGGGTGTTGAGGGTAGTATGTCTGGAAGATTTTCAGAGGGGTTCTGAGAGCTTTTTTTGAGAGGGGATCCGAGAGAGCTTCTTCCCAGAGCTTGAAGGGAAAATGGCTGGAGATTTTTAAGGGCTTCAATTATGGGGATCTAGGTGGCTGTAGGGTGGCTGAAAAGAAGTTGGTCAGGGGGCTGACAGAAGGCTGTAGGGTGGCAGCAACGCCAGCCACCCTACTTTTTGTTTTTTTTTGTTTTTGTTTTTTATATTTTTATATAATTAATAATTATTTTTAAATACTATTATTATTAATAATATTATCATTAAAATTAAAATAGTAGACCCGGACAAAATCGGTGTCTATAGGGTTGAATTACGAAATTCTTCTTAATTTGTATACAAGGATTTACGGATTAAGCCATATATGTTTGGAAAGCTTATTGAGTCTACTTTCCAATGAAAGAAGCAGAATTGAATTTAGAGTTTCTTGTGAATAAATATATAGTTTTTATTAGAAGGTATACATGCTGTTTGGCAGCAGTATATGACGTGGATTTCAAAAATTGTTATAATTAATCTACAAGGAATTACAATGTGTGCCATATATGGTTAGAAAGCTTATCAAGTCTAGTTTCTAACGCATTAAAGAGATCATAATTCCAATTTGGATATATTGAGATATGACTGTTTTAATGAAAAGAGGTCAGGCTGCTAGTATTAATTAGTTAAGTTAACCCTTGTGTAACTTAGTTGATTTTTGTATAAATACTCTAAAAAAGGGTTGATTAAATTCTGATCAGTTGAAATGATCTTGGATAGACCATTAATTATTTTGAGGGAAAAACTAAGTGGTGGAATCGAATGGAGGTAAGTGGAATTTGTTTTCAAATCTATGTATATATATATATATATGTTTTTAAATGAATGAATGTTTTATTTCTTTATTTTCGATATATGAAAATGGGATCAGGCATATGATTATTTTGTATTTTTGCTATGTAAATGATGGATCATGCTTATGAATGAAATGAGAAAATGATTTATGTTTAAAGAATAATTTTATGATGGTTACGTTTTTACATCCTTGAGAAGTGGGATCATCGATACCGAAACTAATTCTACGACTCTGGCTAACGGGTAATAGTAGTTAGCAAAGATATGATCATACGACCCTGCTAATGGGTAATAGTAGTTAGCGTAAAGCCCTAGCTAACGGGTTATAATAGTTAGCACTGATCATGATGATGAAATTGTTCATACGGTCAATGTTACGGGTTATAGCAGTGATCGTAACTAACGATAAACGATTGATAATGATGATTTATCATGATGATGTTTTGCGATGATTTTTAATGATTGATCCATGATTTGGTTTGATTATGATATTTGAATGATAGTATATTTTACAATGATTTATGAAGTGACATATTTTGACATTGATTTATGAATTTATGAAATATTTAACAAAACGATAATCTTGAAATGTTTTGATATTATGATTTGATAAATGTTTTGAATGATCTATATGATGTGTAAGAAAATTATGCTTGATCTGATAAGGTATGTGAGCTTATACTTACTGAGCTGTGGTTTGCTCATTCTTTTTTTACTTTTTCTTTACAGATGACTAAGTGATAAGTTTGATTAGTCTTGTGTGAAGCTAAAAGATAAATAGGTAAGATTACTTAATCGTCGGAGAATATGTTGACCAATGAGATTTTAAGAGGCAACTTTGTATTTTATATGGTTTGTATTTGGATATATAAAAATATATTATCAGTTGGATTAAAGATATATATTTTACTTGGTAGATTGTTTTATTGAAAAATTTTAAAATATTAAAAAAAAAAAACTTCATATTACTTTAAAATTTTCTTCAAAGTAATACGATCGTGTTACGTCTTAATCTCAGGGCGTGACACTTTTAGCTTGATTCTCTGAAGCCAAAGGAGAGCCTGGTTATCAGGCAGAGATATGGACTAGATGGTAAAGGTGATAGAACATTAGGAGAAATTGCTGGGAACTTAAATATTTCGAGAGAAATGGTTCGGAAGCATGAAGTAAAGGCGCTAATGAAGCTCAAGCATCCAGCCCGAGTGGATTATCTTCGCCCATACCTTGTCTGAATTATTAAAATCATCGGCTTCATTTACGTATTTTTCCCTAAATCCTTTTATTGGATTATGACCAAGTCGTTTCTGTACACTAATGATCAGTATCACAGTCATTTAACTGCATGAGCATAGAATTCCCATACCTGTTATATAAATTCAAATACTCAACGATTGTAAATCGGCAATTATACATGTCGTGTAATATTTTTCTCTTCCTGATAATAATTTGATTAGGCGTTTGTTAGATCGCATTGAATCCTTCATCATCTTTGTTGCATCTACCAATCTATGCCAAAACCTCTACCACTCGGCCCTCCCTCCCAGTGCCTCCTCTCCTCTTCCCAAGCCGTAAAACTTTTGGACTATCAAATCGTATGATGAAACAGCGACCATTGGAAAATTCATACGCACCCATTGTTGAAACACTTAAAAGTTAAAATTTAAGTGGACCAGAAAGGGGATAAATCGAAAGGGAGAGCAGGGGGAAAGAGAAGCAGGAGTGCAGAACTCCAGTCCAGTCTGCGTTGTTTATTACCATTAAACCTTTTCAACAAATGCCTGCCAGATTTCTTATCATGGCATGTTACCCATCAATGGCGGCCGCAGAAATAATGACTCCAGAGAAGTAGCACTTGCTAAACTTGGAAGGTCCAGGTTCTAAAATGCCTTCCGAACTTTTTACCCCTAGTTTTATATAGCTGAAATTTTTGCATCAATATTTTGTTTTTTCCAAAGCTAAACTTACAGCAAACAAAAAGTTTTAACCAAGTTAATTCATGCGCAATCCCTTCTTATGAAGATTTTGTTTGTTAAAAAAATTCAAATTTATGGTTTAATTGAACAAATTTTTTTTTGGTACACTGAAGGTTATAATTTCAAAATAAAAAATTATAAGTATTAAAATTTAAACTTTAAATCTATTAAATTTTTATTTTTAAAAGTGATTACATATAAATTTCAAATTTAAAATTTAACCATCTATTCTATGACAACGCTACTAACACCATCTATTAACTGACTAAAGGTATACCACATTAAGATAGCATTAAGTGCAAACAAATTATGAGCAGTTATGACTGTTTACTTAACTCGGCATAAGCAATAAATGGAGTTTCATTTTATTTAGTAACCAACATGGATGAGACAAAATTTGATAGTTTTCCCTGAAAAGTTTGCCTGCCTGCCTGCCTTGCGTTAATAGAATCAAGGGTACTGAATAAAGGCTTTTTATAGAATAAGTGCGAAGAAGAGAAAGAAGAGAGACAAGTATTTTCCAGTCTATCACAAAATAAGAAGCTATTTAGAACCATTAAATGCAGAAGACCAAATTTTTTTAAAACTCTCTTCCGCTGTGCTCTTTTCTTTGCTGGCGAATCATTCATTATGTAGCATTATCCAAAACCTCTCTATTTCCTCTGCTTTCCGCCCTGGAATCCTCCCAGCTATCAAATGCCACCTGAAAGTAGGAATCCTGTAGGGGTTAGCAGTTTTATTTTCATCACTTTTTAATGTGAATGCCATTCCTTATCAGCCAAATCAAAGAGGGTAACTGAAAGAACATTTGATTATTGTTTAATCAAATAGTCAAGCAAGCATACTTATTTTTCTCATATTGGTGTTCTAATCAAATGGGGCCTCAAATCAACATTCTACTTATACGCTTATAAATATTCCACCATGTATAAATGCCATGTGCGTTAAGGAAAGAGTGGTCTGGAACAGGATAGCAAATATTACTGCAATTTCTTGATCAAACCCATAACTTAGAAAAACTACCTAATGCCTTACATATCAAACCTTCATATCTAGGCACTTACATTTGATTAGTCATGCTGGATTTAATGCAAGTTTTCATGTCAGCTCACCTGTCTCCAACAAGCCTGTGCATCCTGTAGATGAGATCTTCTTCCTGTTCAGTCATTTTGATAAATTTCCACTCAATGCTACTAACCTCTGACCAAAAAACAACAATTTTTTTTAGAAACTTGTGTTACATACACTACCCAAAAGGAGAAAAAAAGAACCCGGTCATAGATAATAGGACAGGAAATGGAAGACAAAAGTGGACGGGAAAATTGGGAGAACAAAAACCCTAACCTTCATTTCCACGAGGAGTGGTGATTTCGGCTTGCTCCCGGCTGTGTTGTCGGTCCATTTAATCTTCACAGGAAGAAATTTCCCAGGTAAGTAAAGATGTGGAATCTTGTGCGCTTGTGGAATTTGATGGCCAAAAAAGGAATAAGGTATGTTTCAGCATAAATCTTGCATATATTTTTGTTCAACCAACCTTGAAAGTCCGCTTCTTGTTTGTTCACACGTTGGCTTTGTACCTTTTGGACTTATCGTTGATAAGCTGACAGCATTTACCAGGTAGGGAAAGAGGTAATAACAAAGCTGTTAAAACGATTCACTGTTCCATCCAAATTGAAAGTTTCTTTGGTAATTTAAATGTTCTCTGAGTTCTCCGTAATATAATATGGTGAATTCACGTGCAAACTCTTTCTTGCCAATTATCAGGATGATAGAAAGGTACGCATTTTACATAACCAAAAATTTCAAGTTATGATTGATCGGAAAAGAAAGAGAAAATACCTAACATATAGTAAAGTAATAATTTCTCTGTATATACCACAAGTTCAGGTATAGCCATTTGGGGAATAAAATGCTGAAAATCGCCTGCCAGTCGTAAACAATATAAAGGTAGTATAAAAGAATCTAATTATATGAATAAATTTTTTATGTTCGCAATTTTTTATTTAATTAATAAATTTTAAAATATTTTTTAATGATTTTTTTATTAAATTTAATAAATAATTAAAAATCGAATTTGCCACAAATTTTATCAATTTATGTTAGTTTAAATATTAACAAATTTTTTTTACATTTATGATATTTTTTTAATTAATTAATTTTAAAATATTATTTATAATTATTTATTAAGCTCAATAAATAAATAAAAATAAAATTTATTCATAAATTATTTAAACTTTTATTCCTAATTTCAAAATTTGTCCTTAACATAACTCTACGTCCTCCAATTAAAAGGGATAGATGCGTTAGATATTATAAGGCAAAAAGGATAATAGTTTTTAAAAGTAATATTAAATATTTTTGTTTTTAATTAAAAATCTAATTTTAACTTTGTAAGCATGAAAATATATGCATTAATTATTAAATTAAATGTTAGAATGCAAAAATAACATACTATTACATATTTTGACACATTTTTAGTGTTTTTATCTTGTATTTCTTTACTAACATGATAGATAGGTTATTGTTGGTTGATTATATAATGAAAAAATTTAGAGAAAATGTAAGAAATATAATTGCAATATTTGGAATAAAATATTTAATAATTTATATATTTTTATTGCATTTATTTCATATAAAATATATATAAAATAAAAAAATATTATATTGACATGTTAAATATGACAATTGTTTTTATTTTTTTATTAAATTTATATATAATTTTTATAAAAATTTTAATTATATTAATTTTAAATTAAACACTATATTATATTTAAAATAACTAAAAAAAATAATGTTGGTCCTTCCCGAATTCATCGCTTCATTGGCCCTTTGACAGCCTTTAGATTTAATAGTGTTCAGGGCTTCTCTGTTATTATAGCAATCAACATCTGAGAGGGAGAAAAACAGAAAACAAGTCCAAATAACGTAATTAATTATAAAAGATGATAATGACAAATTAACTTTCCTCTCCTCCTTTGTATCAGGGATAATTACTCGTGTTAAATATGGCCATCTATAACCTGAAAGATACTTTGTTATCTTCAATTAGATTTGGACTACATAGAAAAATGGGAAAACAAAATTTATCACCGTCTGCCCACCATTACAATTTCCAATTACCATGCTTCCATTATTAATATATATAATATTAATAAATCATATGATATCGTTATATTAAATAAATAAATATTAATTTTTAAAAAATATATAAAATTAATATTTTAAAAAATTATTTTTTAATAAAAAATTATTATATATAATAGTACGTCGAAATAAATTGCATTAATTGTTTAATGACGTGAGTTTTGTCTTTTCAATCACCAATGGTGCAGACAAACGACAGCATTTATTTAGAGGCAATCAAAGATCCACGGCAGAGCCATCCGTCTTCAATCACCTAAGAAGTCCAGCTAAATAAATTTGTCAGGTTGCGTACAGTATCATTACTGGACCAGGGTTTCAAAACTAAACATGCATTATTTAATCTTTTCGAATAAGAGGTTTTTTTTTTTTTAAAAAATAAGGTAAGATAATTAATATGACTGTAAATGAAAAAGACATGACACTGACAGTGTTTGTCTTTATTTGATTTAAGATAAGGATCGGTTACTTTTATGAATAGTTTTGGGTTCAAAAATGAACATAAATTAATTATGATGAAGTTGAGGTGTTTTATTTTCAAGAAAAAAAAAAAATACATGCTATCGTCATCCATCATCACTATCTTAGTACAATTTTATCCACGCAATCACATAAAAATCCAAACAGATTAATTTAGAGCCTTAGCCAAATAAAACTCACGGGGCTAAAATATAGGCCATAAAAAAAAAGTCGAAAAGACCAATGATCGTTTTCGAAGATAAGCTAAAGTTCTTAGATACCTTATCTTTCATCAAAAAAATTGATAGGATTATATTCCTAAAAAGGTTTAAAATGTTAATTTTAGATATATGTGATGATACCTTTGATTTTTTTAATCATTTGAAATTTTATATAATTAATATGATAACGTAGGGTGTAAATAAAGTTTTAATATGTAAAAAATTGATTATAACCTTAAAAAAAAGTGGTTAGGTTTTGGTACTATAATCTCAAATTGAGGTTAATCATCATATTCAAAAAGTTTAACTACTTTTTTCTTTTCTATTTCGTTAGTAGCAAAAGAATGAAAATTATTTTAAATTTGATGTCAATTTATCAACTTAGAATCGAGTATTTAAAAGAATATGATATGCGTTTTAACGTAAAAACTCTACAAGTGAAAGATTTAGAGCTAATGGCCACTGTAGTTACCCTGAATAGTGAATTTAGCGACAAAAAGTATCACTTGAAACTTATTTTATTTTAGAGCCACCAAAGATTGTAACCAACATCTTACTTATGGCTAAAAAATACACAAGTGCTGAAGCTACCATGAAAAATAATCGAGGTGAGAGAGGCTTATTCTCTTTTCTTAATTGAAAAAAAGATAAAAATTTTATGATTTTTTGTAAAGAAGAGACGACATAGGACTAAGAGCCCGAATAGAGAAAGAAACTACATTACACTGAATACATTTTGAAAAAAGATTTTGATGCAAATAGAAAGAGACCTAGAGCTTAAGTGGCTAAAGCCACTAAGGCATAATAGAAAAAGGGACATGACTAAGAAATATGCCTTCTAGAGAAAGATCAATCACAATACAAAAGATTGTGTCGACCTGAATAATGAAATTAAAAGTTTGATTAAGAGAGGTAGGCTAAGCAGATTTATGCACTATGCAAGACAAGGTCAAGGCATAACGGAGTATAAAAAAAAAGATCAGAGAAAATGGACAAAAAGGAATTTATAGTGTAAGAAAAAACATAATAAGGGTGGTTAGAACCAGAAAAATGAGCAAAAAAAAAAATGAAGGTCCAGCAATAGCTAACTGGCCCATTACGGGCATAATTAACGTGATTATTAGGAGAAGTTTCACGTTAGCCAGGAGAAAGTTTAACTAGGAAATAATCATGGTCATAGGGTCGTTAGCCAAAAAAACGAAGGATTGGAAAGACAAACCAATCTCTTTCATGTTAGAAGAAATGAAAAAAAATTCAATTTTCACATGATGACACCATCGTAGTCACTGTTGTTATATATAGTTATATGGGGAAGAGAATTTTGTTCAACAGTAAGAGCTCTACTGACATCTTATACTATGCCACGATGCTAAAAATGAGAATTAGAGAAGAAATGCTAAAACCATTCACTACCATGTTGATCAGTTTTAAGACTAAGCATGTGCTAGTAAAAGGGATAATTAGGCTGCTAATCACACTGGATACTAAACTAAGGAGTGTCATATCTGTTATTGAGTTTATATTGGTTGATGTGCTTTCAGCCTTTAACATAATGTCAGGCCGACGTAGCCAGTCTGTTATGTGATTAATTGGCTCAGCTCCTCACTTGAATATCAAAATTTTGACACCAAACAAGGTCAAAAAAGTTTGAGAGAACCAACTCATGGCATGATAATGTTATGTCACAACAATGAATGGTTGGATTAAGAAGTAGATTGACTGTTCAACAAGAAAAGAAGAGCTAAAAAAGATTAAAAGGACTGACATAAAGGTAGGAGAAACAAAAGAAACAAATCATAGCAACCTTGGTAAAAATCAGCAAGAAATTAATAAAGAAATACGTTTTTAAGTGGTTCTAAGCTTTTAAACTCTATACTTGTACAAGCCATAGATTTTTGTAATTTTTAAATTCATTTTATAGAGGTCAAGCTCTTAAGCTGGCATATATACATGTCAATGGAATCAAGTTATTAAGTTGACTAAATAAAAATTGAAATAAAAATATTCATTTTATTTAACTTTATATTTTTATCACATACCATCTTACAAACAATGAACTAATTGTCATGTCAAAATTTGTTCTTCTCATAAGAAACAATCTTGACCTAATTGAGTGAAAAGAAATAACTGATTAAAAATTTGAGATTGACGAAAATTGACTTGAATCGATAGATAACCTTGTCTCTATATTATTTTGAGAGAATAACTTAGAAAAATATATGTAAATTAGAGTCAAACTCGACCATAAAGAATAGTTAATTCAACTTTTAAAGAATAATGCCTATTTGTTTGCTTGGATACCATCTAACGTGCCAAGGATTGACCCCAAGGTAATGGTCCATAGGTTACACACCAACCTTAATATAAAGCTAGTTTGACAAAAAAAGAAAACCTTTACCTCAAAAAGACAAAAAGCCATTGAAGAAGAGATTGATAAACTACTACAAATAGGCTTTATTAGGGAAGTACATTAGCTTAAGTGGATAGCCAATATAGTCATGATAAAAAAGCATAATGAAAAATAGAGAATATGCATCGATTTCACCGACATCAACAAAACTTATCCAAAGGACATTTTTTTCTCCCAAGCATAGATCGACTTATTGATGATAGTGCCAAACACAGCTTACTCAATTTTATGAATGCTTACTCAAGCTATAATCAAATCAAAATGCTGAAAGAAGATGAGAAAAATAGCTTTTATAACTAAAAACATCTGTATTGCTATAACATCATGCCATTTGGCTTGAAAAATACAAGAACGAGTTATTAGAGGTT